TCGAAAAATATCTATGAATATCATACTGTAAATAACTCATTTTTTAAAATAAAATAAGCATGTATTTTAAGTTAAATTAATTTCATAACCAATTTCGCAATTTAATAAAACAAAATGCATTTGTATATACGAGTAGTAAGTAATTATGTTGTATGTCAGTATTATAATTAGAATTTATACTTTATTCATAAATATGTACTATGTACATACATATAATGTTAATCTACTTACGAAACTATAAAGTGTAGCATCATATTTTACCGTTTAAATTACTAGCCATTTATTATATAAAATTCACATAAATTTTTAAATAATTTATAAATAAAAAATAAAATAATAAAATTTTATTTAAAATTTGAATATTATTTTTTAATTATAACCGGAGTTTCCCGTTTATTATATATACATACGTGAAAAAATTATGATTATTTATCTAGTATAAGATTAGAACTAATGAACTAAATAGAAAATATTTGAAAAATTTAAAAAATAAAAAGTATGAGGATAAACATGATATATTTATATATATAATTTCAATGATATATATATATATAAATGATATATAAATGATATATAAATGATATATATATATTTTGTATATATAAATATCATTTCAATATATATATATATAAATATATAAATATAAATATATATATATAAATATATATATATAAATATATATATATACATATATATTTGTATACATATATATATATATATATATGTATACATATATATTTGTATACATATATACTATATATACGAATAAATATATATATATATATATATATATATATATATATAATTTCAATGATATATAAATAATATATATATATATTTTGTATATATATATATCATTTCAATATATATATATATATATATATATATATATATATATAAATATATATATATACATATACATATATATATATATATATATATATATATATATATATATATATATGTATATATATATATTTGTATACATATATACTATATATACGAATAAATATTTATATATATATATATATATATATATATATTCATTTGAATGTACATATGCATAGGGGTGTATTTCTTACACATTTATTTTTACAATTTTACCTCATTTACAATATTAATTAGGTATAATTTACAGCTGGATTCATTGGTTCGTCGTTTTTTAGCTGAATTATTTGCAGTCAAACTATTTTTTCTCTTGATTGTTCATTGGTTCGTATGAGAAAAACTGATCGTTTTTTTTTATTATGATGCATTTATTACTCTTTTGACGAGAATTATATGTAATTGTAATAGTTAAGTATACGTAAATTTAACAATTTGAAAAACCTCCGCGCTAAATTTGAAGTTGATTGAACTTTTTGAAAGAAAGAAAAAAAGCTGTACTAAAAATAAAGAGAATGTCAAAAATTCAAATTTTCATACAAAATAAATCAGCTCGTAGCGAAAGCGACGAACCAATGAATTCAGTTTAAGTATGATATATGATAGTTATGTGCATACATACATCTATGTATGTAAAATATTTAAATATTTTTGTTGCTTTAAACGCATACTTTATCAAATACATAATAGAATATCGTTCATTATATTTTATTTATATGTGTGAATGTATGTAATGGAACTGAATTAAAAATTCAGTGACGTGACCTTTTGAAAATATTGCGAAAATATTAAATTTCATAAATAATTAAATTTTTTTTTTTTTTTTGAAAATTTTATATATTTGATATATATATACATACATTTATATATATTATCGATAATGTAAAACGCGAATTGAATTCTTTTGCATCTTAATCGATGTGATTAACAAAACTTTTGTAACTTTTAATATTATCAATAGATGTCTACATTTTCAGTGTAACAGATAATGCCAAAAAAAAAAGCAAATGTCACGTAGGTAATTAAAAATGACACTTGCTGTTTTCAATCGATTGCATGCAAAATTAAATTTATATGCAAAAGTTGATAAGTAAAAGTTTTTTTTTAGCATAAATTGTTTGATTACCGGTTTGTTGGCCGTCAGATGTGATAACGTTGTCGAACGACACTTGACATTAGCGATTATACACATCTGAAGGCAGAAATTGTTCATATTTTTCATATTTTGTTAATTTATATGTATTGTCAAGTGAAATTTCAGCTAATAATACAAGACCAATTGGATCAGCAAAATAAATTCGTTCACCAAACATACTTCCACTTTTTTTTCGCTTAATCAGGTGCTATTCTTAAACCCAAATTTTTTTTTTTTAAATATTTAAAATTAAAAATAAAATTGTGACTTCGAAATTGCAGTATTACTGTATTAATAACAAATATTCAGGAAATTAAAACTCACAAGCTGAATTATGTATACAACGATACATAGTTACCTTTATTAAATTAACATATACATGTAATGAATTTTCTGAATTTGAAGATATAAGATGAGTTTCTATTGGTTCAAAATTTTTTTGATTTTAATATTACAATGGCTTATAAAAAAATTTATAATCAACGAACCGTGAAATTATTTGTAATCAACCAACCATAAAATTAATATACTTATGTATATATGTATGTACGTTTATATTAATATTATCTTATGGATTGGTCTGAGGCAACCATACTTAAAGGATGGGCTAAAAAAAAGCAATATGTAATCAATATGTCTTTATATGTATAGTTGTACTGTACATTTGGGAAATTTCTAAAACTATGTACAACCATGGACTTATATATTGGGACTAGGATTATATATTGAAGTATAACAGTAATAAAAGTAAGTTTGCGACTCTGCATTTTGACTTATGTCATTGTTCTTACAAACGTACGATATTTTAATCCATATCACAATAGTTTAAATAATCTTCCCTCTATTATCGTAAGTACTAGTTTACTTTAAATTTAGGGAAATTCCCTTTTTAATACAAAGTTATTTTTATTTTTTCTTTCATCAGAATATTTTATTACACATTTCTTTTTCCATATGCTTTACTCTCACACACACTTATAAAAGGAAAAAATTTACTCATAATTTTTATTTTTCAAAGTGGATTAAATTTGAGAATTCAAATAATTCATACTTAATATTTTCACAATAATTTAAAAATTTTATAATTTTTCAAGATTATAATTATCGATATATGTAAGTAAGTATGTAGTAGGACAAATTTTAAAATATTTTAAAATTTAAAAACTTAACTTGTATTATAAAATATTTTTGCTTATTACTTACAAAATTGTAGCGTGTTGCATCATATCGTACTACAGCTGTTTTACTACAATGAGCCATTATAATTTTTATAATAATTATTTAAATGATATTAATTAATGTACAATATTGAAAAAAAAAAAACACAAAATATTAAAAAAAATTAATATAATTTTGCACTTTTTATTTTTTAACAAAATAAAATAATGTTTTATATTTTACAAATGATCAACTTTTTTATATACATAGAAGACCGTTGTTCATTTGTCTGATCATCAAAGTTTACTGTACACCGTATAGTCGTTATTTGCTAAGTTAACGGCTAAACTAAAATTTTAATAAAAGTATATTATTATATGGATGATTGTGTGTGTATGCACACATTCATGTAAAAATCATTTTTTTTATATATATTACCACTTACTAACACGATATCAAATATGTCTATACGTACTATATACTCGTGAGTACTCATACTCGTATGTAGCATACATAATGAGAATATTTTAATAATTTTAAACAAAAAAGTTCTCTGTTTCGCATTCACAAAAAATTCTCTTCTAGTATACTACTCCACGTGTATATATATAAAATAATACTAAATATATAAAAATTCTCTTGGCACTTGATATATATTACAGGCATCTTTATATATTATAGGAGGCTATGCATATATCAGGACTTCAGCAGTATTCTGTTAACTTTTCTGGATACATATATGAATTTTCATATGAAATCTATTTTTTAATCAAACTAAACAAGCTCAATCACATTAAACATCCAGCCGAAAACGTACAATTGTAGCAAGAATATTAATGACAGAATGTCAAAATTAAAAGTGCTAAAAAGTCTATTTAAAAAAGTCGCGCGTTTACACAAGTTTAATGATTCTGGATTGGATAACTGCGACTTTTATTTGTTCGAATGAAACGTCATGAAAAAAGTAAAAAGTTGCCTAGTATTTCAAATGCGTGCAATTGATTTTAGTCATAAATTTCAACGCAATAAGACTTACGTGTCAACAATTCTAATACTTTGCCAACTCCACTGATTTATTTTGTTTATTGCATTTCTTCAAAGGCTGAGGCATAAGTGATTTTTAATTGCAGGTGATTGTTATTTGCAAAATTAACCGAAAGACATTATTAACATGATTGTCAAGTTTTTGACATACTGGGAAACATCTGAGAAATGACAAGTTTGAGAAGCACAGACTGGCACATAAAACATGTTTTGTTGAATTTTTTTGGTATGAAAGAAAGGAGAAACTGCTTATTGTCAAATAACACAGCAGATAAACTTACATATTATGCTTGTCTGAAACAACCATTACATATTTTATTTTTTATGAAAAAAGAAAAGTAAAAAAGGGGAAAAATAGTAAAATCTGTTTAAACAGAAATAGAAGTAGGTATAACAGGCCTTTCCATAAACGCAGTAAATCGCGATATATAGAGATAATTGGGCTATACATATTTGTGTTCATAAACAAATATTGCTATTCAAGTTTGTTCATAAACATTGCTAACAAATCATAAAAATATTTACATTATCATGGTTAGCGCAGTTAAATCAACTGTACTTTTTTTTTGCAGTTTTTTTAGGAATTTTCTCTGACATTCAAACTGTAAATGAAGGTAACCGAAATTTAATAGAATTTTAATTTATAATTTTTTAATTTTGCTACTAAACCAAAATTTTAAACAATTAGGAAAAATTATTTATACATGATTTTTAAATTTATTTTATTAATATCGACATATTATAAAAATAACAATAGATGTATGTATGTATGTAGATATTGTAGATAATTAAACATTTGTATGTATGTAACATTTAATAATGATAATTTGATTTTGAATTATTTTACTTCATTTAATATATATGTATATATATATATATATGTACGTCAGAATGTTTTATGTCCTGAAGAATATTATAGATGAACATAAATTTATTTAAAATTAAATTTAACTCGAACCAAATACTGTAGAAGTATTTGATGAGGATTATATACAACATATTCATTGTAATTTAAATCAGTTGTTAAAGATGAATTATATTTCAAATTTCCAAGAGGAACTTGTACACCATTATGTGTTAAGAAATGTTGATCTTTATCTGGTTCATATTTACCAAGACCTTTTACGCTATTTTTACCATTTCGTATAAAAGTAATATCCTCTGCTTTTGTTAATTTTAAAGTTTTACCCAAAGCAACTTCGGCCAATAATAATATTCCTTCAGGATTAGTTGTAGTGGCGCGACAATTTTTAGCTGCTTTTGAAACACAATCAGTAAAATATATTCCTTTACCAAACATATTACCAATACTTGGTGATTGTTGTGGTGCTATTTGTAATCCTATTTATACATAAATTGAGATAAACGATAAAGAAAAATATTGAAAAGAATTATTCTTTTAATTTTTAATTTATTCAATTAATTTTAAAATTATCTAATAAATAATAATAAAACTTACCATTTAATAAAATTGATGGATAATTTGTACGTCTTGTACCAAACCATAATAATTTTGGGAAACCAAAATTTTTCTTAAAATGATCATATTTTCTAAATTCAGCACGACGTGATATTTTAAATATATCAACAATATCTAAACTAAAATTATCATGTGTGGGACCATGAGACTTTTCAAGATATTCTAAAATTTTTTTATATTCATCATCATCTTGAACAACTGGTCGAATTTTTGTTTGTAATGCTTTATAATATCTATAAAACAAATTTGGATCACCTCGATGTTCTAAATTTCGAAATAAAATAAAAAATAAATTAATTTCTAATTAAATTAATATTAAAAAAAAATAAAAATTACCATTTATAATATCAAGAGCATCTTTTATTAATAATATATCATTTAATCCATGACTATAATGTTGAATTTGTTGTGTTGTTGTTATAACTGGTTGTTGAATGAATTGCATTAATTTCAAAAAATCCGAAAGTGGATCTTTTTTTTTCTTAAAAACTGCAAATGCACCACCACTACTACTACTACCATTTCCATTCATATGATTTGCAAATGACATTGCTAATGATGATAATTTTTTTAATGCTTCCAATATCATATCAGCAGTTAATTTATTCGCAATAATTAATGATGGATTTATAGAATATTCTGATATTATTCCTAACATTTCATCTTCTTTAAATATCATACCAATTATATCGATAACTGATTTTGAAATTTTTTTCGATTGTCCATTTGGTAATGTATATGTAATTACTTGATCGCTATATCCATAATCTGGCAAATGTTTTGTTCCATCGAACTGTAAAATAATACAATATTATTTAATATGTTAGTTATAATATGAAAGGTATCAATTAGAAAATAAGCATATGGCAAAAAATTTGCACTAATACTTAATTGCGCACGGTAACTAATAGCACAGTGTAATTTATTATCGAATCACTAAGTTATATTGATATTTATCGTAACAATAATAATATCGAACTTTTCATATGGCAATTATCATTAATCACTTAGTGATTCGATACACAGAATAAATTCTAGTATTACTGTAACATTATAAAATAATCAAAGAAAATTTAAAAATATTAAATAAAAATTTATAAAATATTTTATTAAAATTAGAAATTTTTGACCTACATACTTAAATGAGTAAGAGAATATGTCAAAAGTTTAATAAACTTTTCCTTTCATAAAATATTGTTGAATACAAACTCAATCTAGAATTAATATTTTAATATACATAATAGCATAAATAATAACCTCAATACATTTACTCACCACATCATTGATACAAAAGTATATTAATAGCCTATGTACATATATATTTATTAATACATTAAGTATTTACGGTATAACTATAATATCAAAACTTCAAATGTTGCCAAGAATATCTAAATATTGCTTCTAGCATTATCAACAATAATTTTTTGCTTTAATTTAATCAATTGCTTTAATTTAATCAATTGCTTTAATTTAATCAATCGAAATCGAAAAATTAATATTATAGAAGGCAAACAATTTTATTTATTTTGTTATAAATTCGAGTTTTATAGATTAAAAATTGGTTTTGTTGTTAAATAAAATTCAATTGGCATATTAAAATCAATACAAATAATTTCTTTTTTAACATATTTTGTTTGCAAATTAAAGATAAGATAAGATTGATTTCGAAGTGAAATTTTAGTTATTAAAAATTGCTACGGTTACTGATAAAATTGAATTCAATATAAAAATGTTCCCGTAAATGAAAAATTTTATAGTACTTAACTAGAAAAATTTATTTGAATTAATTTAACAATGCATGTGTGTATGTATGTACAGGTTTGATAGTTAGGACTTGGGTTACATATGTGCTCACAAAAATACGCTTAAATAATTTAAAATAAAAATATTGTCACTATGTCAATTTTAATATTACCAAACGTATACTGGTAATACTTTTTGAAAATTACTATTCAGAATCTTACATAAAGCATACGGAATTATGTATTTGAACGCAGGCATACATAATGTATTTGCTATTCTTTTTGTTTCAAAAACGCATTTTATACAATTCAGAACGTGTAGTAACTCAAATAATTTTTTAAGATTCATTAATGGAACGTAATATGTACGCAAAATTTGCATTTTTTTTTTGCAATATGGAATATTATTCTTTATATAATTTTTAATTATAATTTAATTAGAATAGATCAAGTTCAAGATCACATAAAACTGGTAACACTTAAAGGGGTAAATGCTCTTTTTTTTTTCAATTATTAAATTTTTTTTCTCCAAGGTTATTTTTGTTTACTTTATATTTAATTTAGATGGACACATACATACATATGTATGTATGCATATGTATAAATATAGCTCTAGCATATGTATTAATATATTTTAGTTTTTATAAATTTTAAGTTTTATAGGAAATTTTTGCAAATTTTTACAAATTATTTTATTTAAAAGCTATTTTTATATTTCCATAATATTGTGTTTACAAATGTATAAAAAAACTTATCAATAATTTAATACATATGAATACATACGTACATACATGTGTATTGTATATGAAAAACATACTTAAGTATGATGATTATTAGTAAAACTTGAAGAGAAAAATATTTATTTTTAGAATATAATGTACATATTTTAAAAAAATATACGTTAGTGGTGGACATCGACCGTATACGTACACATATATATATATATATGAAAATAAAATATAAATTGTTGCCATCAAATTGAATGCCTGGATGCGAATAACGGATTATGTATGTATGTATGTACATCATATATTATATTGTAGGTATAAGAACAAAAAAACAAGTTTATTTGCACTTGTTTAAAAAAAAATGTTTGCTATAAAACGGGAAAAACCCGAAAATTTAATATGTAAGGTACCTACTCATTTTATTTTACAAGCAAGTGTGTAGCAAGTGTCTTGCTTTTATACATACATATGAACATTTGCAATCAATTCGAAAAGAATTAGAATTGAAATTAATCCTCACATAACACGTCCCTTCTTCTAAATTTAATAACATTAATTAATTATGAATTATTATAGTAGAAAGCTAATGAAAATTCTTTACTTTTATAATTTTATAGAAAAATAATATATATATATATACTTACAAAATTATAAAGTGTTGCATCGTAAAGTGAAGCAGACGAATTACCATTAGATGTATTAAATCCTCTTCTATTATTAGAATTCCTTTGATATGAACCAGAGTTTTGATTATTACGGAAACCATTTTGATTTGGTCGATTCGAACCGCGATATGAACTTGAATTTTGATTATTACGATCACCACTTTGACTTCTTTGATTCGAAGAATTAAAATTATTGCTACCACCACGACCACCTTGATTATGTCGATTTTGACCGCGATATGAACCTGAATTATGATTATTACGATCACCACTTTGACTTCTTTGATTCAAATTAGAATTATTATGTTGTGAATAGCCTGTGTTTTGATTATTGTTGCTACCATTCTGGTTTTGTGGATTCGAATCACCATTATTATTGCGATCGTTATCATTATTTGGATTATAAAATCCAAATTTTTGAGCCATTTTGTGCAATAATTATTAAAAAAATTAACAAATAAATATTTATAAATTTCCTTAGTACTTTTTTGCTTCTTTTTTTCTATTTTAGCTTTTCGACTTTAATGTATTCACTGAGAAAATTCGACAAATACTAAAAAATATTTGCTGAGATCATTTGCTTTTATTTCATTAGTAATATTTTTTTCATTATCATTATTTTAATTTATTGTTAATATTTATTATTATTTTTTTTTTATGTTTGTGTGAATTACTCTATGAAGCCTACCAGAATAAAGTAAGAGAAAGGTAGAAATTATTTAAGCAATTCAACAGTTCTACTGAGTATTGAGTACTACTACTTCTACAGTTCCACCATTGCTCTTTTTTATCAGATCAGAGAATTCATATTTTACTATTGTAGGTATATCACTAAAAAATCTGCAAATTTTTATTTTTCGCTTTTACTTAAGTATAATTTTAATTTCTGACAACATTGATCTGTTGTGTTAAGAAGAGAGAAAAAATTGATAAACAGTATTTTTATTGAAATTTGTTTCTTACTACACTACGTTCTCTTAATTTTAGTTTTTCGTATGGATGCAGAAAAGTAATAAATTATAAATTTATAAAAACTCTTGGTAGAGGTTAGTATATAATAAATGCGTAAACATATACATATGTATAAATTTACCTTTTATGAATTTGTAAATGCGTGCACACATGAGCAGTCGCTCTCAAATAGGAACAATGTTGATAAAACTATCATTATTGTGTTGTTATTGTATTTCAAATTTTATATAACATAACATAATGTAGGGCGATTAATAATATTTTATATCATACTAAGGACTAAGCCAAGTTTGCAACAGAAAACTGAGACAAGGTCACTCAGAAGATCATAAGACAACAATTGTGCAAACTTATCTACATTTAATTGGTATACATAGTTTTTTTGTCCAAAATAATAGAATATCAACGCGTATTGTGAAAATATTAATTTGTCATTTAACATATTTGCTTATATGTATATAAATATGTACATATGTGTGTATGTATATTGTTGCACAATTATTTCAACAGAAGAAAAATAGCTACATACATATGTGTTCATTCCAATTTATATCTTCTCCGCAAAAATATTAATTGGTCAATTTAAGTACCTTATAAATTTCTCTTTGTCTGACGGCCTTAGTAATCTTTATGCAATGCCTGTGATAACATTATAGAATAAGCTTTTTTATTTTCATGTTTATAAACATTGAAATTTATAAAATTTTCAACAGTATAAAAAAAGATTTGTAAGTGTTTAGATCGTAAAAAGAAATTTTTTAATATTATTAATATTTGTTGAATTGAAAAAATAAAATAAAAAAAAATAAAAAAAATGGGAAATTTGTTCTCGAATGTGAGTAAGAATAAATAAAAATAAAATAAAAAATAACAATAAATAAGTGTGTGTGTGTGTGTTGTTAAAGCTCTAAATATACAAACATACTCAAATGCACACATCAAATATTTTTGGTAAATTGACATACATACATATGTATATATTATAAAATTATTAATACATCAACTCCAAATTACAAATACATTAAGTAAATTCGAGTACTCGTCAATTCGTGTGCAGTGTTCCCACTCAGTAAAAAAAAAAATATAAGCAGAAAGTTATTATACTAAGTCGTCTTATTTCTTACAAATTAACTCGTAGTTAATATTAATTTTCTTTATTCCGCAATGTGAAATTTATTATTTATAGTAAATTCTTTAAGAAATCACATACAATTTCTGTTGCATTTTAATTGTCAAATTTAAATACAAAAAATATATGTATGTATGTGCAGATAATGCATTTTCTATTATACCTAGTTTACACCAATATGTTTCTGGTATGTTGTGGTTGAATACAAGGAGGGTTGCACCAACTTAATATAGCATCTTATAGCTAAATATAAATTTAGCTAGTTATAACTTACTCTAAGCTATAACTAGCTAAATTTCAAGCCAATAAATGTATCCAAATGGATAAAATAATATCCAAGTGGAACGCTCTTCGTGTGCATTATCACCATACACTCCTATCAATCTGATTATCCAGACATCTTTATATATATACATAATCAATTTTACAATAAATTAATATATGCATGCATGTATATACATACATACGTGTGTGTTATATACATACATATCTATGCAATGTAAGAATGAGATCAAATAAAGTAAATAAATATTGTGCTAAATATTTATTTAACCCCAAACTTAAAGAATATCAATTTCCGTATACATGCATACATATGTACATATGTATATTCATCAAAAATAAAACGAAATGCATTAAAATATAGGGCTTAAATGTTCCTTTCATTTTATCTTTGGGTGTATGTACTTACATATGTATGCGTGTATATGTATGCATGCATGCATATTCATACATGAATGTTTTTATTATGAAACAAAATTGATTACAGATTTTATTTTGAATGATTTATACATATACATATGTACATACATATGCATATGTATAGTATATATAATTATTATTATATACATACATATATATAATTCGGATTTAAAAGTGAACTTAATTAATGTAAACATTTGTTTTTACAGGACACCACAAAAACAGCTGATGTTAAACCACAAAATTTCTATAATCCATATTCTTCTTCTTATACTTCCTCATATCCTTCAACAAGAAATATAAGTAATACTTCTTCCAACATATTTAATGATTATTCTCCCCCTCCGGCACGTTCATATTTGTCAACTAGGAATGTAAATAATTCTTCTAACGGTTATGCTTCCCCTCCGGCACGTTCATATTCTTCAACAAAAAATGAATCTTATTCTTCTTATAATAAACCAAATCAGAATTTATCAAGAAATAATGGATCATATAATATTTCATTGAATTCTTCATCATACCGTAATGATTGTACACAAAACAATGATTCATCAAATCGAAATAGGAAACAACTTTCTAAACCTATGATGCGTATATTAAAATTGGTTTTTCAAAATGGTTAATATTTTATAATATAGTACACAAACGTATTTAATTTGTATATTATATTATTTTTAATTATAGATTTTGGTAACGATAAACAACTTGCATACTTACATTTAAAAAATCTTCAATCCCATATTAGATTATTACCAAAAACAGAATTGGACTATTCAAGAATTCTTACTTATGTTGAAAATACTCATGGTCCAACACATAACTTTAAACTTTCAGTTGAACATATATATAAAGCATGTAGAAAGGGAGCTCTTAAAGATTTTAAACCAAACAAAAAGCTTGGAAATCGTAAATTATTGTGGCATGGTACGCCTTTATCAAATTATGCTTCAATTTTATCAAGAGGTAAATCCTAAAAAAAAAATTATTTTGCAAATATACATACCTTGACTTCCAAAACGCAGTGAAAAGGTAAAATCGTATCGAATACTCATTCGAAGCATTAAACAAAAGCCTAGCGTGTAGCGAAGAGTTAGAGGCTGCTTTTTTTAGACACGTCATAAAAAGACTTGCCAGAATTATTATTTCCTAAATTATTACATTTTTTAGTAAAATATATTCTAGTAAAAATATATCTTATGATTAGTAAAATATTTTATAATATTTTATAAAACAAAGAAATGCGGGGAAACACAAAGGCAAAAACAACATATTATTTGAAATTCAATTACTTTATTCAATTAGAAAACCTTTGTATTTTTTTTTATTTTAATTATTTATTTACATAGATATATGGATACTTATTTCAAAAATTTTAAATACAAAAATGATATCTTTTGGAACAAAGATTTATTATCAGCAAAGATTTATTATTGTCAATGTAAAGTGCAAACAGCTTTTCATTATGTACATATGGTGTGTAATGTTTTTTTTATTGTCACATTGATATTTCAAAATGTAGCGAAAGATTACATACAACGCAGCTGTTTCAAAAGCTTTTCGTTATTGCAAAACTGTATTTCGACGGTATTTAAACTGTATTAAAAGTTTTTATACTACGTTTTGGAAGTCCCGGATTTTTAAGTAATGTATTAAATTTAGTTTAATATACAAATTATATTTAGGTTTATCAATTAAACCACCACCTAATGTTCAGGTAACAGGTAAAATGTTCGGTGATGGAATTTATTTTGCTGATGTTGTTACTAAAGCAGCACAATATTGTAAAGCAGATACATCAAATCCATATGGAATATTAATTTTAGCGCAAGTTGCTTTAGGAAAAGAATATGTTCGTACTAGAAGTGAACATGTTGATAATAATAGTTTACCATTTGGTAAAAATAGTGTTAAAGGTATTGGCCGATATCAGCATAATGAAAATGAAAATATTAAAACAGAATATAATGTTGAAATTCCATTAGGAAAACTTGAGTTAAATTATAATACAGATACAAGATTAGATTATAATGAGTATATTGTTTATAATAACGATCAAATTTTTGTTGAATACTTAGTTTTAGTTAAATTTAATTTTCAAAATCAATTCATATATTAATTACAATATTTATATAGTTATCTTAATCTTTCTAATTTATTAATTTATAAAAAATAACATTTTTTTTTTAATATTCATTAATAAATCTTTTTAATGTTCATTAATTAATCATGTACCTTAAAATAAATATTAGGATATTAGGATAATTTTTATAAGAAATATTTTTTTTTTTTATTAAATAAGTAAACTTTTAATAAATAAAATTTATACAATAAATATTTTTTAAATTTCAAATTTAAATTGAAACAATAGAAAACTTTCTCATCTCTTTTTGTTACTGGAACATCTATAAATTACAAAACGGTTTGTGTCTACAGCACATTTTTCTGAATTAATTTGGATACAAATCGTTTTGTAGTTTTTTTTTTTTAAATATAGATGTCAGTAATGTAAGGCAGGTAGAATTTAAAGATTGCGACTGTAATCATTCAAACAAAATTTTCATTTATAAAATTGTATAATAAATAATATTTTATTTTTGAATTCATTATTGGCTACTGTCATTATTGTCACAAAAGAGTGAATGAAAGAAAAATGAATGAAAAAGAAAAAAGCCTTTCTACAAATGAAAAAATAAAATAATGACACGAAATTTTCCATTAAAAAATTACTATGTTAACCATTTTTGACAGTTCAATTTTTAATAACATGAATAAACCTATCGTACATTTCACTAAGATGTGTGTGTTTAAAATAATTTTATTCATAATTTTACAACTACGACGAAAAAATTTAAAAAATTGACAACTTACGAATGAGCAAAACAGCTACCTGTATTGTTGCTATGATCTAATTTTATTTGAACGTTTTTAAAAGGTCATAAAAAAATCAATTTTTGTTTACTGATTGTCTGAAATCCAGGAAATCTAGATAATATTATATAAAGTACATACATACTTCCATTTATGTATTTTCAAATAATAAAATCGATTTGTCAACAAATCTTTTACATTTGACATTTCACTGAACAGATTATTTATACATTTAACTTGACTGGTAACTCTCAACTTGACACGTGTTTCTTATTTTTTTTTTTCAATTATTTTTATTTACAATATCATTACTAAAAAACAGAAGTGCGGTTAAAAAGTTGGATTCGGCAAAATTAGGTTAAAATATAACATTAAGTTTATAAGGTTTTTATTCCAAATGGGTCGTGATAAAAAAGTTAATCCTTTTGCGAAAAAGAAAAGAGATAAAAGATTTGTAAGTATCTATTAGCCTAGTAATTTTTAATTTTTCGTTAAGCAATTGTATATTTTAGGGTCAACCGAAACCAGATCGACGATCAGAGCCATATGAAGAAATTGTTCGTGAAAATGAATCATTTTACAAATATTACAAAGCACAAAATATTTGCCCTGATAATGAATGGGAAATTTTTCTTAATAAAATTAAGGATAATTTACCTACAACATTTCGTATCACTGCATCTAAAGATGAAGCTATGGCTCTATTAGATATTATTAAAACAGAATTTTTTGAAGAGTATACAAAATCTGTATCAGAACTTCATCAAGTTGATAATGAAGAAGTATTAAAACCCTTTTGTTTGCCATGGTATCCTGATGGATTAGGATGGCAATTACATTTATCACGGAAAGATATCCGTAGATCTGAACCATTGTATAAATTACACAATTTTTTAATTGCTGAAACAAATGCTGGTGCAATCAGTAGACAAGGTAAAATTAATGAAACCAATTTTGAATTTTGATTTTTTTTTATACTGAACAATATTTTCATATTGGTATTTTAGAAGCTGTTTCTATGATTCCACCTATTGTATTAGATGTTAAACCAACTGATAAAGTATTAGATATGTGTGCAGCTCCCGGTTCTAAAACAACTCAATTAATAGAAGGATTACACTCTGGTAACCAAGAGGCTATACCTTCAGGTTTTGTAGTTGCAAATGATATTGATAATAATCGTTGCTACATGTTGGTACATCAAGCAAAACGTTTAAATTCACCATGCATTGTTGTTACAAATCACGATAGTGCATTTTTACCCAATATGATCGTAAGAATTTTCTTCTTGTATAATGTACCTAATTGAATTTAAATTTGATTGTAATTTTTAGCAAACTAACCCCAATGGAAAAAAACAAATTTTAAAATTTGATAAGGTTTTATGTGACGTACCGTGTTCTGGTGATGGAACATTAAGAAAAAATCCAGATATTTGGTTAAAGTGGAATGCTGGACAAGCTTTAAATTTGCATGGGTAGGCAGAAATCTTATAAGCAGTATTGCTTAAAAAATATTTTTTATATCATTAAAATCTTTTTTATGTTTTATTAGAATTCAATATCGTATTGCACGTCGTGGTGCTGAGCAATTAGCTGTTGGTGGTCGTCTTGTTTACTCTACATGCTCATTGAATCCAATTGAAAACGAAGCTGTTTTACAGCGTCTTGTTAAAGATTCAAATGGGGCTTTAGAAATTGTTGACGCATCTCATTTAGTACCAGGTCTTAAATATAAGCCTGGTTTGACGGATTGGAAATTGATTTCTAGAGACATTGAAATTTATACGAAATGGGATGAAGTACCACAAAAATATCATACAGTCATAAGACCTAATATGTTTCCACTTCCTCCTGACGAAATTAAAGAAATTGGACTAGAAAAATGTATGCGTGTTCTTCCCCATTTACAAGATACTGGAGCATTTTTTGTCGCAGCTTTGATAAAAAAAAAACCTCTAGAGTGGGAGAAAAATGATAATGTAGAAAAAACAATAAATGAAATGAAATCGAATAAAAATGATTCTGATATGAGCAAAGAAGATGATGAGGAAAAAAAATCTGTACCATGGGGACCACAACGTAAAAAACGTCGTCTAGATGGTTATAAAGAAGATCCTTACGTATTTTTTACTGAAAATGAACCAGTTTGGGAAGATATCAAATCATTTTACGAATTAAATGATTCTTTTAATAAAGATTGCCTTTTAACTAGATCTTTAATTGGTAAAAAGAAAAATATATATTTTTGTTCCCCTGAAATACGGGATTTAGTAATAAATAATGAAGATTCTGTAAAAATAATAAATACTGGAGTTAAAATGTTTGTGCGATGTGATAACAGAAATATGAAATGTGCATTTCGTTTAGCACAAGAAGGATTAAATACTTCAAATCCATTTATCGGAAAGAGTAGAAGATTAGATTTATGTCGTGAAGATTTATTGAAATTATTGTATTGTACGGATCCCACAAAACCTCCACATATTACAAGTATGACTGAAGATACTCAAAATAAAGTTGAAGATATAAGTATGATTTTTTTTTTCTTTTTTCAAAATAAACAAATACATTTTGGTTTTGTTAATTTTTAGAACCGGGTAGTTGTATTTTAAAATACATTGATGATAAATTTGCAATTTCTCTTGTTGGTTGGAGAGGTACAACAAGTTTAAGAGCTTATATTGAACAAAACGAAACTATACATATATTAAGATTATTAAAAGCAGATATATCTCAATTTGGTAAATCAACAAATAAATAGTTGATTATAAAATTATATTTTTAATAATTTAAATATTTATATTTTTATTTTAGTTGTTAATAAATTCAAGAAATCTGAGGAAAATAGTCCTGAAATAACAGAAATCGAAAATGATGAGAAATCTGAATCTATTGATGACGATTCTAATAATGCATTGAATAAAGAAATCGAGTAACATGTTATGAAAAATAATAATTATACACAATTTATATTAAAATATACAATTAAATTTTAATGTTTCTTATTTAAATTAAAAAAAAAAAATTTTATTATTTTTTATAATAAACCAGAACATTTTAAAAATTTTGAGTGTTACTTTCTCTTTTTCAATTTAAACAAAGATGAAATGTTCCAATTACTTAGTAAAACCGGTAAGTTTCTTATTGAAATTAATATAACCTTGGACCAACAATTTTTCGTTGAATATCTTGTAAATAATCTGGAATTGTAGTGTTATACTAGAATGACATATATATTGAATGCGTATTAATTGAAAAAGCTTTGCAGCTAAAAAAATTATGAATGAAATATTTTAAAAGCTCTCAATAAAAATGTATAATAAAATTTTATTTATATTCAAATAGAAATGAACTGTAAGATATCTAGATAATCGATATAATTATTGTTACTAATGATAATATATTTCTAGTTTGTTCAAAAATTTATGTTTACAGATTTAAAGAAGTGTTCATTAAGATTTGAATATTCTTAAAGTTTGGAACAATTCGATCAACATACAATGTTAAAATGAAAAACAAATTAAAACTTAAACTAGAAAAAAAATTTTAATATTATAAACGTAAAATCTAAAACTTTAAATCATTCACAAAGTATTTCGTACTCTTAATACTGCATTTATTGTAGTTCTTGATGCAGGCTACGCATTTCATCCGTAGTATTTTCTGTATAATATTGTAATTAATTGAATTGTTAGTACATATTACAATTGGTACACATAACTACATATCGTCCGTTAAAAGGCAGAAAGCACTAAGTACATTTTTTGAGAATTCGGATTTCATAGATGAATTAAATCAGAATAATATAATCTTTGTTGTGGCAAAAAATCATGCAAATCCAGAATATAGTTTATAAATCCAGAAATTAAAGAGACCAATCCCATTGCACTAATTGATTAGTTTTACAATTTTACGATTTTTTCAAATTGAATTTTACTCAAAACACAGTTTCCTGACTTAATGCTTTCTTCTTTTTAACAGACGATATTTAAGTACATTATAACTATAGCAGCTAATCATAGTATGGACAAATTTTTAATGCAGTTTTTTATGTATTTCTTATTCAATCAACATTAATCTGTTATACTTCATAGAAAATCTAATAAAATATTTGTACTTTAGAGAAAATCTATTAACAAAAGTCAAAACTTGGAAATTACGCCTAGTAAAGCTTAAATATGACATAAGAGGCTAAGAATATCTTAAAAAATTATTCTTATGGAAAATTATAGGAAATAAGAAGCCGGTTATAGAAATTTCAATATATACACGTAAGTACATAACGTAACGTAATAATATTTTTCAAAATGATTTTTTGAGATTAATTTTAAAATTAAATTCATATTTTATAGCAAGTCGCTTGAACAAAAATAAAACTATCTCAACATAGCTATTATTTATTATTATAAAAAGTGAGAGTATAAAAAAATTAATGTTAATGTTTGTCATTTAGTATTTACTCAATTGATTTTATTGTATCAGTACAGTATTATGCATTGCATATACTCACGGCTGTAATAATCTCGTATTTAACATAGAAAGCTAGTCGGCGGCTTTATCATGAACAAAAAAATGAAAAACTAAAGTACAAATTAAGTCGACTTATAAGTCGAATTATTATAATATTAGCAGTCTTAATAATGTAGGTATGAAAATTTTTTATATATTATGACAGTTTTTTCTTTTCTGTTTTTAATTTTTATGTTGACTTTGAGTGCATTTTCTTCTTAAGACCAATTTAATATTATTTTACAGTATTAAAGTTTAGTTGATGTTTAGTTATCGTATGTGAAAGGTCAAAATATCGGTATAAGAGAAAATAATAAAATTAAGAAAAAGAAATAAGTAAATGCGTTAAAAAAAAGTACCAATTTTTTGTTTATCGTAAATCAGTTATTTTGCATACTTCATACTTAAAATTTATTTTGTCATGATAATTAGAATGAATGTTAAGAGAAAAATTATGTATTATTTTAAATAAAATCGAAAAAAAAAATTTATATTAAATATGAATTGAAATTATAATTATTAAAAAAAAAATTAATATTGAAAAGAGTTTGTGAATATTTTCATATTGTGAAAATTTAATTAAATCATAATAATAAAAAAAAAATAAAAGGTTTTAAGCGGTTTATTTTATAGTATTGAAAAAAGGATTATCATAAGGTGAGAATATTATATTAAATAATAGTAAATCGACAAAGCCTTGCAGATTTTGTGGAAAATCGAAGGAGACGCCCGATGAATCTTTTATACGATAGTGTTGAGCGTTGATTCATTGGGCAAGGAACAATGCTTTAATTCATTAGAAATGTGAACCTCGAAGGAGGTGCTATAGGCAAGACAATGAGCACTCGTGGGTGGGGTGACACAGGGGGATTAGAGACACAATAGATCTTTTAGTTCGTATTGCATCTTCACCCCAATCTACAAATAAAATTAATTATTTAAATTTTATATAGTTTTTTTTTTTTATTTACAATTTGGAATATTTATTTTTATATAATTTTTAACTGTAAACAAACTATATTTCTAATGAATTAAATAATAATATAAATATTACAATAAACTACGATAAACAATGATAATATAATAAAAACATAGGTCAATTTTATTTTACATTATTAATTAAAAATAAATTAAATTTTTATTTAATTAAATATAATTACGAAATCGAAATTATATACCCAACTACATATACATATTTTATAAATATTTTTGTGTTATCAATTTTTTTTAATTTAATTAAATTGATTTTCTAATTTAATTTATTGAATTGATTTTTATTAAATTTTTTTATTTTATTTTATACACGTCCAATAATAGCTATTCTTATTGAAATTTTTAATAATTAATAAAATTCAAAAAATTTTATATTTTTTAATTTATATAAGAATTTTTTTGTTAAATTTCTACTAAAATTCAATGATACTTATTAAGTGCCAAAGTAATTAGTGACCACAAAATGGATATTTTATAAAATTTAAGGGAAAAAAAGTTCCGAAGAAGAGGAAGATGGGAAAAATCTAATGGTATCTAAAATTATATAAAGTGTTAAAATATTGGGGATCTCTTTCAAATAACCATGCTGTTAACAGAAGTGATTGCTAATTAAAAATAATAAAATAAATTATGAGAAAATGGGTAATTTTAAGATCTAATCAATATGCTTACTTTTGTACTAAAAATTTTTTTTGAACAAAAAAAAATAAAGGGGGCCATTAGAAAATGTTTTATTTTAGGAAAATGATTTTGTTGTAGTAAGTTCTCTTTATTTTAGAAAATTGTAATTTCAAAATGAAGAAATTTTTCAGAATGAAAGACACACGGATAGACAAAATGAAACTAATAAGCACATATATGATAAATTTAAAATTTTTCGGGGAAAATTGCTTAAAAAAAGGATAGAAATCTATTAAAAAAATCAGTCAGTCGGATCTCTGTTATAACTGTTAGTAATATGAGTGAATGATAAGGCACTTACATAAGATGAATAAAATTTTTATCCTGAACTACAGCTCCTGAACTCCTGAAGTATAGCAACTTCAGTAAAATTTAGTGAAATTTTTAATTTTCAAAACTTTTTCAGATAACTATAGTCTTACTAGCAGGGGTGAAAGAAAATTTGACGATTTGAAAATCTCTGTATACTAATCGAAAATAACTACTACTATGATAACTTAAAAATTTTTAACTTTTTTGAAAACTTATTTTAAATTGTTCCTTTTTTTTTCCATTTAAATTTTTTCACACCATCATTATTGCTACTGAAATATGAATCACATTTAAAAAAAAAAAGGATAATATTATTACAGATATACAATATACACCTTAACGGTTTAATAAAAAAACGAGAAAGAATAGAGTTGACCTTGTCAACTCTGTGGTACCCGCACGAATTTGTTATCCTATATGCGAATAAAGATGCCATAACTGACTTTGGGACAGACTATGACTTTAAGTTGTCGTATATTAATTTATGCAAAATTTCATTACAATGTGTTTTTCAAAATACTGTGTGTGCCAAACTACTGTTGAAATTGTCTGGAAGCTACCAGAAAGAGCAAAGAAATTTTAACGAATTTTATCAAGCATATCGGCCCTACTAATATATTTGCTTGTGTTGAATTTCAATACCATCGTTTTTATAGTTTCTGCGATATAGCCAAATAAATTTTGAAGTTGTATGGCAGCTACCCGAACCGGTACCCCGATCATGTCCAATTTAAATAGGGTTCTGGCACTTACTACAATAAATCAACAATTAGTTGTTGACTTACCGTTGGGACGGGGGGACGGACGGGCGGACGGACAGACAAAGCTAAATCAACTCAGAATTTGACGCTTTTCAAAAACATACACTTGAATCTATATCTAAGACCGTTATTTCTTAGCGTTACAAATGGTAAGGCAAATTTAGTATACCCTTCGAAAATACGTTCGTACGGGTATAAAAAAAGAAAAATTCATTTATTATTTAAAAAAACAGGATCAAAATTTGTTCGTTTTTTTGTTTTGGTTTTGTTTCGCCACACGAATAATATGTAGTTAACCTTCAAATGCATTGCATTTATACAAAAACTAAAAAGGACGATAAACGTTATTCGTTAACAATATTATATTCAAGTATTATTCTTCAAACCATCTACAAAAAAAAAAACATATACTTGAATGGTGTACTTTATCCAAGTATAAAATATACAAAATCCACATTAGTACACTTAGTATATGAATATCATTAGTAGAGTTTTTATTTTCTCCTTTCTTTTTCAATTATAAATAAAATATGCATGGTTTAAATACATGTATATAATGTACTTAACCTAGATGTCAGCCAGCATACCAATTGTATCCACTCAAATCTAATGTAATGCATATAGCAAAAGTATATTCTTTTTTATGTATGAAGCTCCTAAAACCAAAGGATGTTTATGTGAAAAGAAATTAGAATTAGTTTTCTAATTCTAATATTATATTATGAAAGTATATGAGTTTATTTAAAAATATTCTATTTAATTAATTAAAATATTATTAGATTTATTTCTATATTTACATGGATTTTATAGAAATATAATAATATGTAAGTAATGAATTATTTTCAAATATAATATTTATTTTCGTACATAATATTGATAAATATAAAAGAATTTAAGTATATACTTTAGAATTTGGTTATGTCGAATTGCTTTTGAAATTATTATTATTATTCCGGTATATATGATTTTTTAATATTGGAATAAAAAACGCTATAGGACGCCAACTTGTATATACAATAGGAATCCAGTATAGATTTTCGTAAAATAAATAAATTAGTCTGTTATATATATAACACAAGTAACATATATAACACAATTGTATAAATTTTACATATAACGAATTAATTGATATATTAATAGAAAATTCGAAATAATTACAAAGTATAATAATATTGATTTGACATTCATCTTCCGATATATATGCATTCTTTATATATATGTATACGCATAAATTCTTCTTATATACGCATAAATTCATTTCACATTTTAATATTTCGAAAAAGCAAAGTAAATTTTTATTCGTATTTAAAATAAATTAAAATTTTTCGTTTAAATACATACTGGTTAATTGCGTTTTCTCACTTTATTGTGTCAGTAGTGGCCTTAAGTGTAATTTTCTATTGAAAACGCACTTGTAATTTTAAGAAAAATTTTAAAAACCAGGCGTTATTTAAACTACAATATACAATATGTCCGATACTCGTTAGAATTTACTGTTAAAATTCCTGAAACGGGTTGATAGAATACCTTTTGATATACTAAAAAACATTTGGTAACATTTTGAGCCCTCCTTTTCGTATTATGAGGCCTTTAAAGTTGATATTTCTAAAAATAACATTTTGATTGATAATCCAAGAAATATAGCAAATAAAGCCATTTCATATTTCCCTGAATCTCTTTGAAAGTCTCTATATTTATATTAAATTTTGAAATTCATGAAGTTGCCCTTCTTAAGCTGTATCAGTTTAAGCTTTTGCTTTCAGAAATATTCAAATGCAATGTCATAATTTTTAAATTATTCTATTGAGTCTCGGGCATCCCATATATATTTTTGTAGTTTTTTTTATATTTTATTGTGAATATAATTATATTAAAATTATTATAAAATTGATTATTTTTTAATATAAACTGGCATATAGCCCATATTTTATTTATAAATTTTCAAAATTAAAATACATAATGTGTTATAATTGTAGGATAGATAGAGAAAGAAATATTTAAATAATTTTTCATTTTGTATAAAAATTGAATGGAGCCAAAATTATATGAAAGTCAAGAATATAAATTTTATATTCTTATATATTCTAAAAAAAAATTTTATATTTTAAATATATTTTAAAAAAATATAAGTGATTTTTAATGATCGATTTAGAATAAGTGATTTTATATTTAATATAACAGTTTCAATATAAGAATTGATGAAGATTTTTGTATTTAAATTACTTATGTATATATAAATATAATATTCTTGTATGTGATTAACATTAATTTAAAATAACTATATATAGTAAATATGTAAGGGTATCGAAATATTTATTATGACGTCATCATTTAAAATTATTATTATTATTATTATGGGAAACGGTTTAATGCTACTAAAATTCTAGCAT